GGAGGGGAGTCCCCATTACCTGTAAAGCGCTATATAAGTGTAAGCAATTATTATTATTATTATTAAGTTGACCATCAGTGATTTAGAGGTTTGTAATACTTGAATATGGCCCCCTGAAACTCCTCTCTGTTCAAGATGAAAAATATGACATCCCTTGGTTTACATTTAACACTTAACTATCATAACACCATTTTTCCATGTTTTATTGCTTCTCTACAATGTTCAGAAGACTAAAATGATGTGAACCGTCTTTCATATGTAATTTTTTTAGGATGAGTATTTCCCCCACCTTATACTGTACTAGCATGTACTAGTGTGCACTTAATGTCTACCAGGTATTTGCCCAGTCTTGAATTTTGTCTAAATTTTGGAATTGCCTTTTTAGGTTCCATGATGCTTTCAAAGTCTCCTACTTTTATCTGCAAACTACTGATGGAATTGGTCTGTTATCTGTACTCTATATCCTTTCCATTAAGTAAAACCAAATCCAAAGAATCACATGACCTTGAAATTCTTCAAAAAGCTATTTAAAAACACATACATCATATGATTTGTTGTGTGCCTCCATTACTGCTGTTTTTTTCAAAGAACTGCAGTAAGTTATGATGCACTTGCTTTTGTAAATCAGCATGGATTATTCCTTATAGCTGAGCCCACATCCCTAAAACTCCTACTGCCACAAACATGATCCTCACTTTAGTTCCACTTACATTACAGCCTTACATGTAATGGAAGTAAGAATTCATTGGTCTATAATTCTTGAACAGATGTGTCTGCTAAATGAATTAATGTGAAAGTATAAATAGTTGGTTGGCACAATATATATAGATGGGAAATACACTGGGCATTTCCTAGTAAATGCCCGTCTTGAGAGACTTTTGTTGAACTATGAATGTTATCTCTAGTTTCCTTAAGTACAACTGGTACAATATCACCAGGCCCCAGAGACTTCTTTATCTTTAGCTCAACTAATGCAGGCACTTTGCTGCTATTTTGATTTACATTGCAATACGTGTTTAGCATGTTGTCCAAGTAAACACATAACTGTAGTCACAAAATTTGCATTATATCTTGAACTACTGCTGAAATAGTCTATTGTGTATTCTGCTACTAGCTTTGTAAATCACAACCAGGTGAACCAGGAATGCAACTGAATTGTGTAAAACTGTGACATTTAACATTTTCAAGCCACTGTCTTGTGCAAGGTATTTGAAATTTTATAGTCAGAAAATGCCATACAAATGAGTATCTTCATGCCTGCTTTATATGACAGCCACTATTAACCATTCTTCTGAATCCAAGTGATTGATGCAAATATACCACAACTGGGCTGCACATATAATACAGTCAATGTTCTGCTTTCCAATACCTTTTGACTGTGTCACAATACTTTCTGTATCCCTGACACTGATACACTAGAATCAAGTTTCACATTTCTAAACTATACAGTAGGTACATAGTACGCATTTTCAATGGCAATAAACTAACCAAATAAAAATATACACTCATTTTTAGCAAGCAAACCAATATTCCACAATCATGCACAATCAATTCCACAATCATGCATTAGAAGATCTTTTATAATGGCTTATATGCAGGATCTCTGAATATTTACAGAACCTTTAACTTTAAAAATGATGGAATACAAATGTACATAATATAAAGCACTAATATCTACATTACTGTTTTAGAACAGGTTAACAAAAAAGTCAAAACTACCAACATGCTAGGAATTACTAATAAACTTGATATGGTAATGGGATAAAAGATGCTTACAGATCATTAATAAGACCTTGTAAGTTAATACAACACAAGTGTTACCCACAATACCAACATGCTGTCATTGTCAGCTTTATTAACAGAGTGGGAAGTCGGAATTACAGTCCACTTGGCTTTTACCCATTAATTCAGAACAAAGTTTTGCTTCACTCCTTCCTCCTTGGGGTTCCTTCCTAATCT